ATATATATATATATATATTAATTACTTATGACTAGTTGTTACGAGAGGTCGCTTTATCTCGCATCGCTGGGTTGAAATACGCATCGATGAGCGTCCACACTCGGGAACCCCTTTCAAACAATCACGTGTATTTGTGAACGATCGGTGTGCCATCACTGATGTGCATCTCGAGTGGGCGCTTCCGGAATCGAGCGTCATGATGGGGAATGGCTGGTTTTGATGTGGTGTGCTATCACTGCTGTGCGTCTCGAGTGGGCGCTTGTGGAATCGAGCGCCTAGATGCGGAATGGCTGGTTTTGATGTGGTGTGCTACCATTGATGTGTGTCTCCAGTTGGCACTTGTGGAATCGAGCGTGTAGACAATGTTTGCTACACGATCTATTATGTTGTATTATGTGTGTGTATATATATATATATGGAGGTGGCGACAAGATGATCATAAATTAAGAGGGCAGCAAGGTCAGCATTTCCGTGCTTAAGTTGTATGAGGCTTGCTTTGCTCCTTGCTGTTATATAGCGAATTCAAAGGGTTCTCAGGTGCAGCAGGTAGTTTTCGGGGCGGAGGGCGGCGGCAGCGCAGTAAACACTGGGCTTGTGACGCTGAGGACTGTCAGTATGACTGTCAACATCGAAAACACTTCAGGGTATTACCGCAGTCCCCGAGCCGTGAAGTAGGGCAGGGCCTACACAGGAGGCCTAGGGTTTATCGGCAAGGGCACCCCAAGCCTTCAGGGACTGTAAGCTTTTCACTCCATCAGGTGAGGCAACCGCCTTACTGGTGAAGTCTGCTGCTTTCCTCGGTCGCGACAACATGGCCGCACTCCAGGCTTGGCGAGACTGTTTGCTTTACACCTTAGAGGAAATAGGGTTTAGGGTTTAGGGTTTAGGGTAATATTGTGTAGAGAGTATCAGTGATAGGTCGAGACTTGCGAAGTCATGGGCTTCGGCTGACGCGTAAACCGCCTTTAGGACATCGTATCTCCCTGTGAGTGCAGTCACGCATAGCTGGATGATGCGAGGGCGCGGGTTGAGAAGAAGCTTAGTTGAATGTGCTGGATAGATCCATGACAAAGAACAGAGAAGGTAGTTGTGGAGACCTCGTCCTGTTACCCTACTCGCATCTTCATGTGATCATGTCGCTCTACCCAAACACCCATGTTTAATGCCCTGGAACCTTAAGCCGGCATAACCCTAAACCCTGAACCCTGGTCATCTGAAGTGAAAGGGTTTGAGGCTGCTGGCTGAAGTATGCTGAGTGGTCCACATTCCGTGTTGCATTATAGTCAAAGCTTCTGAACTACCCTGCCATGCGGGCTCGTCCTTGCCATGTAGGAAGGATTAAAACAAACCCTCAGCAATACGAGGGAAAAAGCCGTATTGCTACAGCGAAACCCTTGCCAACCCTATACCCCTAAATCCTAAACCCTAAACCCTAAACCCGGAAACCCTACACCCCTAAACCCCTAAACCCCTCAACCCTAAACGCTTGAAAGTCGACAGGCCGCCAGCCATGCCTTGAAACTCTTCAAGGAGCTTGGCCACATGGTGGGCCAGACTGCTGCGCTGCATGGCTTGGCCAAGGTGGGTTAGGGGGTTTAGGGCTTTAGGGTTTAGGGTTTTAGGGTTTAGGGTTTTAGGGTTTGAGGGTTTAGGTTTTGAAGTGACCCGGTTAGGGAGGTGCTTGAGTCAGGGCTTTCAAGAACCATCAGCATTCTGGTTACAGGCTTCGAATTGTTACCGTTCTTGCAGATTTGGGTTGTATATCTGAGTCTTCCATGCTCAAACCTAACTTTATTCCGATGTTGCTTGCAGATCACTCGGTTTTGTCCGCCTTAATTCGCCGAGTAGTCCCTTTGCTCGAGAGCCGTAACCGACAGGCCCAGCTGGCCAAGCGCAGCACTGACGAGGCACTTAGCCGCGCCGCAGAAGCTCTGAGGCGTGGAGGGAATTACGGGTGAAAGGCTTTGTGCTCAGGGACATCAGATTTTGAGGTTTTGATTTGTGCGATGGGGTGTGGTGTGGTACGGCTCTGGACGAAGGTAGCCGGTTCCGCAAAATTCCGAAACCATTATACACCAAGCATGAATTGGACGGGATTTACGCTGAACGGCAGCTCTGAACCCTGACAATGCAGCCTGCAAGCGATGCGCATGCCTGCCGGCAAGGCTCTGCCGCTTGCTTGGAGACCGTCTGAGTGAGGTGCCGGCCACTGGGGAAGTCGGGCGTGATCCGACGGGTCAGAACCCTTCCGGTTCAAGCCTTCGGGGCATGAGGTTTTATACGTGTTTACTTTTAAAAGTCCATAAACGCCAGGAGGAGGAGGGAGGCAAAAATATTCGCCCTTATAGAACCCTTTCAGGAGCCCTTTAAAGGAACTCCAAAGGCCCCTATACCCTAAACCCTTATAGTAGCCCTGATAGACCCCCAAAAGACCCCTATATTAACTACTAAGGCCCTTACACCCTAAACCCTTACATTAGCCCTTTTATAAAGGAACCCGAAAAGGCCCCCCTACCCTAAACCCTTATAATAGCCCTTATGACACCTTTAAGGAGCCCTTTGAAGGGGTTTGGGGTTTAGGGAACCCCCAAAACGGCCCCTATATAAACTACGAAGAACCCTAAACCCTGAACACGATGGCGATACGTACCATTCCTAGTGCCAAAGTGCAAATCGTCGTGTACCAGGAACCTCGCCCAGGCATGTCCGAGAGTGAGTGCTGAAACCCTGAACCCTAAACCCTACCTTCTAACGGTAGAGGCGCAGCTCGTTGTAACGGCCGCCTCGGCAGCCCTGGCCTCCGGCGCGGCGAGCAAGGCACTTTCTTTCCCAAACCCTAAACCCTAAATCCTAAACCCTAAACCCTAAACCCTACACCCTAAATCTTTCCCAAACCCTAAACCCTAAACCCTCTTTTGAGGGTGTCAGGGGTTTACGCGTTTAGGGTCTAGGGTGTGGCGGGCAGCTTGGAGGCACTTCAGAGAGATCTCGTTCAAAAAGGGGTTGAGGGTTTAAGCGTTTAGGGTTTGGGGGTTTAGGGGTTTTGGGTTATAAGGTTTCAGTAAGGCTGGTTTTGTCTTTCAGAGAGCGGGGTGGGTGTGCTGGAATTTACGTAGGACTTCGGGATGATTGGAGTAATGATTGGTCGCTGTGCGGCCGTCAGTTAATGCTGCAAGATTTGCAGCTTGGCCCTGAAATCCTGAATATGCAGAATTGGAAAGATGCCCAGTTTGGGCATCGTGTCCGGCGCTTGCCTTTGGTTCGCGATTACCGTCGCTTCTGCCCGATTTGGTCCTGCCTGTTTCCACTGCAGGAACAGCCTTGTTTATCTGGATCTTTGGCGCCATCCTTATTGTTGCTGTCCCAGCTGTGCTGCTCAACGCCATCCTGCGCCATCCTTATTGTTGCTGTCCCAGCTGTGCTGCTCAACGCCATCCTTTGGCTTGCCACTCTTGTTTCTCACGCGTGGTGTCGATGCTGACTAGTTGACTGGAAGATCTTGGTCACAGTGCCACGGGATGCTGATTCGCCACATCGCTGCCACACGTAGTGCACAGTCTACCTGGCTTCTTTGAGAATCCAATTTGTTGCTTGATGTCGTCATGTCAACATCCGAACCAGAATCATGGCCGATGCGGATTCGGTGGCCCCACTGGCAGTAGAATCACCAGTAGTACTAGAGGGGCAGAGAGTAGAGACAGCACCGTTGCCGTGAATGTGGTGACCAGAGTTGGAGTAGAGGCAACAATTCCAAGAGCAGCACGAAGCCTCAACACAGCCTCACTCAAAAGGCGACAGATGCACGCTTCTTACATGTACTTTGATTCAGCAACCGCAAGACAGCATCAGCAAGCATGTACGAAGCACACGCGAATCCTGATGCTGGGCCAAACGACAGAACGTAAGTTTGCATGCACGGTTCCAGGAAAAGGCATGTATTGATTACATGTTATAGTATTTGTTAGAGGTATGTTTATCTGTCTAGGTTTTCCAGACATACGTACATACATACACACAAACACATATGACACAAATGTACACCCGAAAGCGGAGGCACTCCTTTTCTTCAACCAAAAAGCCTGCATGTTGCAAGTCATGCTTACATATGCTGAACATCCCTGCACTAACGCACTCCCCCTTCAGCAATCCGCTGAACGCAGGGAGGTTAGGCCTTGACCAGCATTCAAAAGAAGGGGGTCCTGCAGCTTTACATGTTTGGCCCCCTTTTCATAGAACGCTCCACGTTCCAAGCCGCAAATTGCGGCGACATTCCAAGACTCAAGGCTTTACATCAGGCATTCAGAAACTGGGCGGTGTATCCTTTCGCCCCGGGTGCTAATTTCAGCACTGTTCTTCCTTTCCATTCACGATCAGCAACGGGACGAGCGGGTTTATGAAGCTCCCGGTAGTTGTCCACGATCTTCTTGGTTTCCCCATTGGCAAAGATCGCGTAGGTGACGCGATCTCCCGAGAGCTGAGCCTGCGTGGGTCCTGCTGCGGTTTGTCCCGGCACAAACATCAAAGTACGGGGGGTCGGATGCCAGCGGATTACTACGCCCTCAGCTTCCTTCCACTCCCAGTAGTCGCGTTTTCCGGTCGGCTTGAAACTGTAGTCGTTGTAGGTACCGTGCACCGTCTCCAGGGGCTCGAAAGGTGCGGGCACTGGAGGCGTAGGTGGACGTTTTTCCCCGGTAAGACGACTTCTTTGACGCAGCCCACCTGAGGATGCGGCCGAGGAGTCGTCGGGTGAGTCTACCTCTCGTCGATCAACCACTCCCTCAGAAGTGGCTGACCTACTCGAGCCGGTCTCTGCCTGAGGACTCGCAGGACCTCGGTGTTCACCCGGCCATAGTCGTGAAAAGACCCCCTTCACGCACTCCCAAACCGCAATCACGGCAACAATGCAAATCATGAAGAAGCCGTAGTCGAAGGGATCCACAGAACCATTTCCGGTTCCTGCACCTCTTGCACCATCGACCAGCGACACCAAACATAGGAGCGCGAGCAGTTTCTTCACCTGAACTGGATCCGCTCCTGTAACGATACGGCTCTTCCTCACCACTCGCATCTTGTCCACAAGAAAGGCAAAACGATCCGAAGAGAGAGGCTTAGTCCCCAAATCGGCGATCATCAGCCGTCCATCCAAGTGGTAGGCGACCCAGTCGGGGAACTCAAGCAGTTCCCTAATCATGTTTCCACGGATCCTCAAATGCCTAGTGCGCCAGCTACCAGCAGCACAGCGGCACACCGACAGCGCCGCCTGGGAGTCGGAGCAGATCACCTTCATCACCTCATTGGCTGCTGCTCCAGTGCGGATCATCACCTCGGCGACTAACTGCTCGATAGACTTCATGCACGTGGTGAGCTCGCAGATGCCAACCAGTTCACTTTCCGCTGTTGACATAGTCACGAAGGCTTGCCGGCTACTGGTCCAGGCCACCAACCCGCCCATGACAAAGATCATGATGGCCTGCTGACTCCTTCCAGAGTTCGGTGCAAAACTCGCGTCACAAAAGCCCTCGATGACGATGCCCGCAGAGGATACCTGAGCGTCCTCGGTCAACTGGGCCTCCTTTTTGTACAAGATTCCGGCCTCGGGAAAGCGCTTGAGGTAACGAAGAAGGTGGCCACCTCGGTACACCGCCTCCTTTGGACTCTTGCTGATGGCCTGTGACAGGAGATTCACAGCATACAGTATCTCCGGACGGCAACGACCTGCTAGCCACTGAAGCTCGCCCGCCATGGTCTGAGCTGCTCGCACAAAATCCGCCGTGCTCTCGTCCGCCTTGATCACGAAGTCCTCCGCATTGAGCTGGACCGGGGCCGGGGTTTCCTCAAAACCATCGAGGTCCTTGTAGCGAGCCAGCAAATCCTTGGTGTAGCTATCCTGGCTCAACAACAAACCCTCATCGGTCCTCCGAATCTCGAAGCCATTGAACGACACATCATCCCACTGCGGCTCCGTGCACTTCCATGTTCGAGCGACCATTTGAGCCGCCTCGGAAGCCACATTCCTTTCTCCAGCAATCAGAAGGTCGTCCACGTAGCAGATAATGGCCCCGGCACGTCTTCCACCCACCATGACATACCACAGGCTTCCATCGATCTCGGAGGGGACGAAGCGAACCTCACCTTCCGGAACTTTTCCCCTCATTTGGGCCATTGTCTTGTTCCTGTACACCTCCCAAGATCGAGGAGAAGTCACCATTCCATAGAGAGCCCGTTTGACTCGCCAAATGGTTTCTCGACACACTCCTCCCAGGAGAAACATCTTCGGCACCTGAACCAACGTAGGACGATCTTCTTGAAATAGAAGAGGAGCCAGCAAAAAGGCGGTGCGCACGTCCATCGCACATAGGCTCCAACCCATCAACGCAACCATCCGAAGGAGGACCCTGTGGTTAACACCCCATCGGCACCAGCTGCGTACTTCTGATCCTTGGAGAAACTCTGCCCCAGAAAATTCCCACAGATGACCGCTCGGCTCTTCAGTCGTCCGGTGAACGCCTTCACAGTGTGCACAGTCTTCCCGGGCACCAAGTCAAACTCCTTTCCTTCTTTCTTCCACTGTTCCAGAGTTTCCGGCGGGAACGGTTCGACTGCCTCATTGTCTCTTACGAGGGACTCGTACTCGGAGAGCATGCTGGGCACCCACTTCTCAATCTCCCGGCGCACAATCTCGTTGGGGATCGTCTTAGTGTGAAGGGGAGCCTCCTCATCGTCTACCGTCGCCTCAGCCTTGCGAAGGCCAGCACACTGCGGGTCGTCTTCGACTTCCTTGGCCAACCCCAACACCTCCTCCAAGGCCCTTCGGCTGGACATCCACTGGGCAAGAGGTCCTTGGCACTCATCACCGTCTTCGCTTTGTCGAATAAGGTGGTCTCTCTCAGCATACTCCTCCTGTACCAAAGCCAGACGAAGTCCATCCAAATAGGCCTCAAACAAATCCCACCCCACTTCCAACGGAACTTCAGCCCCGACAATCTGGTAGGAGACATCCTGTTCCTCCGCGACGGTCTTGAGCTGCGCCACCTCAGGAGGTCCATACGCTCCCCACTCTTCCTGTAGCCACGACTCCATCCCACCATCGCCCAAAACTAGATTGCTAACCACCCCATTCTCGCCCGAGTCCAACTCATCAGGAACAGGGTCTCCAATGTAGAACTCCTGTGGACCACTGGCAGACGCCCGACAGATACACAAGGACGGATCTATCTCCTGG